CGTCAAAACGCTCACCTTAGATGTCGCACCGATTCGATGACATATTCGCATTGCTCCCATAAATCAAACATATATGTGTGTATAACTGGAGTGGGAGTAGGGGCATCAAAATCGAAATCGAAATCGAGAGCGGCTTTCGTCCTTTCATCGCCCGGCGATCGCTGAGCAGGCGGCAATTTGATGGCCATGAACAGTTGACAGTTGACTTTTGATTTGATCAGCAACAGGAATGGGATCCAATAATATCTAGCCTCAAGCTTAAGACAAAAGAGCTTTCAAATCTAAGTTTTTTCTTTACAGAGATCAAAAAGACTCGCAAAACTTTAACAAAGGCTCAGAAATTGGTCAAATGTACCATGTACAACCATTCTTCTATAAATTTTAATGTTATAATATAATAGTATATTTTAAAAATTGTATTAAGTATCTCGTATTAGCCAATATTGTAATGTTTTAGAAGATGTGTTTTACTTATACGAGCTTAATGAGGTATGTTTTTTTGAGCAGCTAACAATCTAGGCTAAACATTTTTTGGAAAAAAATAGGGAGTAGCATTTTTTGGACGAAAAATAGCTTATTTTTAGCCGTTTTTCAGTCGTAATTTAGTCAAATTGAGGCGCACAACAAAAAGAGCGACTGCTTTGAGCAGCTAACAACCTCGGCTAACGAATTCAATCACTTTTTGGGAAATTTATATTTTGACCAAATTTCGCATTTCTTTTTTTTCGAAAAATTTTCAAAAAATAATGTTTTGAGATTTAAATGCCAATCGATTGGAAATTTAAATACGAGCTCAACGAGGTATGACATTCCTTATTCCGGCTCCATTTCGCAATTTGACGACGAAAAAACTGATCTTTTTTGTGCAAAAATAGGGAGTAACATTTTTTGGTCGAAAAATACGTTTATTTTTAGCCGTTTTTCAGTCGGAATTCAGTCAAAATGAGGCGCACAACAAAAAGACCGACTTTTTTGAGCAGCTAACAACCTCGGCTAACGATTCCAATCACTTTTTGGGAAATTTATTTTTTGACCAAATTTCGCATTTTTTATAAGGGGTTGCATCATCTTTTTTTTCGAAAATTTTTCAAAAAATTAAGTTTCCAGATTTAAATGCCAATCGATTGGAAATTTAATTACGAGCTCAACGAGGTATGACATTCCTTATTCTGGCTCCATTTCGCAATTTGACGACGAAAAAAACTGATATTTTTTGTGCAAAAATAGAGAGTAACATTTTTTGGTCGAAAAATACGTCTATTTTTAGCCGTTTTTCAGTCGTAATTTTGTCAAATTGAGGCGCACAACAAAAGGACCGACTGTTTTGAGCAGCTAACAACCTCGGCTAACAATCCCCATCACTTTTTGGGAAATTTATTTTTTTACCAAATTTCGCATTTTTTATAAGGGGTTGCATCATCTTTTTTTTCGAAAATTTTTCAAAAAATAAAGTTTTGAGATTTAAATGCCAATCGATTGGAAATTTAATTACGAGCTCAACGAGGTATGACATTTCTTATTCTGGCTCCATTTCGCAATTTGACGACGAAAAAACTGATCTTTTTTGTGCAAAAATAGGGAGTAACATTTTTTGGTCGAAAAATACGTTTATTTTTAGCCGTTTTTCAGTCGTAATTTTGTCAAATTGAGGCGCACAACAAAAAGACCGACTGTTTTGAGCAGCTAACAACCTCGGCTAACGATTCCAGTCACTTTTTGGGAAATTTATTTTTTAACCAAATTTTGCATTTTTCATCATCTTTTTTTTCGAAAAATTTTCAAAAAATTAAGTTTTGAGATTTAAATGCCAATTGATTGGAAATTTAATTACGAGCTCAACGAGGTATGACATTCCTTATTCTGGCTCCATTTCGCAATTTGACGACGAAAAAACTGATATTTTTTGTGCAAAAATAGAGTAGAACTTTTTGACGAAAAATACGTTTATCTTAAGTCGTTTTTTAGTCGTAATTTAGTCAAATTGAGGCGCACAACAAAAAGACCGACTGTTTTGAGCAGCTAACAACCTCGGCTAACAATCCCCATCACTTTTTGGAAAATTTATTTTTTTTACCAAATTTCGTATTTTTTATAAGGGGTTGCATCATCTTTTTTTTCGAAAATTTTTCAAAAAATTAAGTTTCCAGATTTAAATGCCAATCGATTGGAAATTTAATTACGAGCTCAACGAGGTATGACATGCCTTATTCTGGCTCCATTTCGCATTTTGACGACGAAAAAACTGATATTTTTTGTGCAAAAATAGAGTAGAACTTTTTGACGAAAAATACGTTTATCTTAAGTCGTTTTTTAGTCGTAATTTAGTCAAATTGAGGCGCACAACAAAAAGACCGACTGTTTTGAGCAGCTAACAACCTCGGCTAACAATCCCCATCACTTTTTGGAAAATTTATTTTTTTTACCAAATTTCGTATTTTTTATAAGGGGTTGCATCATTTTTTTTTCGAAAATTTTTCAAAAAATTAAGTTTCCAGATTTAAATGCCAATCGATTGGAAATTTAATTACGAGCTCAACGAGGTATGACATTCCTTAGTCTCGCTCCATTTCGCAATTTGACGACGAAAAAACTGATATTTTTTGTGCAAAAATAGGGAGTAGAACTTTTTGGCGAAAAATACGTTTATCTTAAGCCGTTTTTTAGTCGTAATTTAGTCAAATTGAGGCGCACAACAAAAAGACCGACTGTTTTGAGCAGCCAACAATATCGGCTAACGATCCCCATCCCTTTTTGGGAAATATATTTTTTTACCAAATTTCGCATTTTTTATGCGAATTTTCAAATTACGAGCTCAACGAGCTCATCGTTTGATCAAAATCTAACTCTAAGTGGTCCCTAGCCACTGATTTCTTGAAGTTTTGATTCCGTAAAGTAATGACAACAAACTGACCTTGCATTGTCAGATTCTGCGGAAGCTGTCCTTTAATCGAGGTTCCACTGTCCTAAAAAGGGTGCCGCTTTAAAGAAGTGTGGAAAAAATGATGCGATGTCAAGTTATTGACAGGCCGAGTCGATATTAATGACGACTTCATCTTCATTCGCTGGATATGCCATATATGCAGAGCCCATATTCCTCATCCCCCCTCGATTTATCCCCCAGGTTTTTTCGTTTTGCTGTCGCCGTGTCTTACTAGCAATTATTGAACTAGTTAGTCGGCCCCAAGACAGAAAAGCAGACGATCCTCGATTCATTTTTTCAATTATGATCGTAAGCAAAGCAGCAGTAAGCGAAAAAGCAAGAGCCACAAGCAAAAGAGGCAAAACCCAAAAGCCAAAAGCCACACGACGTACGTATGTATATACGTACATATTTAAGCCAACATGTCAACATAATTTATATTAAATTTTTGTGTCAGATAATGATAGCGCCTCATGCTGCCGATCGCCGATCCGCGATCCTCGCACAAAATATATATCTGCAAGGGCTGCAGGCCGAAATATATGTATATGAAACGGGCAAGGAAAAATATAGCGAAGCAAGAAGAGGGATTTAATGCTCTTTCAGAGTTTAAATACATTTTATCAACGAGCCACGGCGAATTTCTATTGCATCAACATGGATTTTGCATGACCGACCGGATATGATCGATTCTTTCGGCTCTTGGACATCTGGTTTTAACTCGGGGATGCCCTGCGACCTGTGACCTGTGCTCTGGGCACTGTGCTCAGATGTCCTCGAATGTCCTCAGATGTCCTTTCCATATGCAATGCCATGCAATCCCCCGCGGTTGCAGAAACGAAGTGTTAAACGAGGCCCAGCGTGTGCCAGCATGCCAAAGAGACCAAAATGCCAATTCAAATCAATTTCGGCACGGTTTCCTAGCGTGCAACCAGAATCCTCCAGCGGCGATCGCTTGGACAATGGAATTTCGGAGATACTGGTAACCTCCTAAATGCTTTCGAAATGCTTTCGACTTTAGGCCCAGCGAAAGAAACTCCAACTGCTACGATGGGCATAAAGGACCCCGGGGCATTAGGAGTGTTAATAGAAAAGTGCCTCTGGCTGATCAGGTTTCTTGGCAGGATCTATAGGGATCTATGCGATCGAATGGATCACCGTTTGAGGTGTTGACGAGGCGGCCTTGGAGGGTCATAAAACTTTGGATTCCAGCGGCACAAGGTCTTATGTTCAATGATTGCCAAACGACTCGTGAGATCAGAAGGTCATCGGTAAGGACAAAGGAGTTGGAAAGGTTTTATTCTAGACAAATCTTTTTTAACAATATATTTTTCTAACTAATGTTCCAATTCCTGGAGATATACATGTTCAATAATTTCCGTGCTTGATATACACTTTTTAGGATCCTTATTTTTTCTGATGTTTTTATATTTATCTGTACTTTATAGACGCTTTTCCTGCCTTAAATCAACGACTAAACCTATTTTTTACAACCTCGGCAAAACTCCATCGTTTAGTATTTGATTTGTTTAGACCTTCTGATTTATTGTGGCTCAACTATTAGAGTCGTAAAAGCTGGCTGGGCACTTTCATTAGGATCTGGAGCTCCATTTCTTTGGAGGGGTTGTTGTTACTGGGGTCTGAAGTCTGGACCTTTTTGCTTTTATTTCTTGAAACCGGTTGGCAGCCGGCACGCGACAGTGCCAGGTTTTAAGTTTTGGTTTGCAGACGACGGGCAGCTGAAAATGGGCAAAAAACACTCGGATGGAGAGGAAACTCTTCTCACTCGAAAACAGGGAACACTCGGGCACGAAAAGCAGCTGCAATTTGCAGAGAACGAGAGAGATAGAGAGTAAGCGAGATATTACTACCTTTCCTCTCCATAAGAAATCAGAGGAAAACACTCCACTCAAGAGACCCCAGAGATCCGATCCTTGAGTGATGATGCTGTTGCACCTTTTGCGAGGGGCAGGTAGATAACAACGCAGGTGAGATCCCTAGGCCCTGGAACCCCTATAAATAGCCCGAACGGAACGGGGAAGGGCATCAGAACGGAGCCAGCGCTCAAGCAAAGACCATCTAAGTCATCAAAAAAATTCGAAATATATTCGAAACATCTCTTCTGAAATGGCTCTGGGCAGCGAGAATCAGTCTTTCTTCTACGACGACGAGGAGTCCTCCTCTTCCCCGGTCAATGGGCCCTCGGTCATCCGGCGGAATGCCCGGGAGCGCAACCGGGTCAAGCAGGTCAACAACGGCTTTAGCCAACTGCGACAACACATTCCCGTGGCCGTAATTGCCGATCTGAGCAATGGTCGTCGTGGAATCGGCCCCGGTGCCAATAAAAAACTGAGCAAAGTCAGCACCCTGAAAATGGCAGTAGAGTACATACGCCGCCTGCAGAAAGTCATTGATGAAAACGACCAGCAGAAGCAGCAGCAGCAACAGTTGCAGTTGCAGCAGCAACATCTGCACTTCCAGCAGCAACACCAGCAGCAGCAGCAACATCACCAGGAGCAACAGCAACAGCAGCAACACTTTTACGCCTGGCAGCAACAGTTGCAGTTGCAATCGCCCACCGGCAGCGTGAGCTCCTGCCACAGCAACAGCAGCAACGGCTCCTATTACACACCAGCAACACCAACGATCCCGGCAGCAACAGCTCCTTCGAATATCGTTACCAAGTTGGAGAACAGCTACGAAGACTACCGCAACAATTCCTGCAGCTCTGGCGCCGAGGATGAGGACATCCTCGACTACATTTCCCTCTGGCAGGACGATCTGTAGGGATCTTAGTCCTTAAGATCCACTCGAAAAACTACTGCAATTGCTAGTCGCACTTAACCATCACATACACACATCGAACCATTGATTGGCCAACAAGTATTACCTCAGCCACAAAGTATTTATATTACCCAAAACGAACTTTTTTTTTCACCTGTACAAATTAGCTATTAAGTTTTTATGTAGTTTATAAGACTAGCTTGTAAATGGAAGACAATGTACACTTAAGAATATCTTTTTTTTAAACAAACATGGAGGACATTAAACTGATTATTATAATGAAAAATACAATGAGTTTTCTTATGCTGAAACTGGGTTGGGAAACTGGGCTGCAAAAAACCAGAAGTCTATGGAAAATATAAATTTAATCTTTTTGAAAGGAATAAATATCAAAAACGTACACTTTGCCTTTGATGTTTAATGATTATAATATAAACTTCCCTTCTCCCCTTTTAAGGACACTATTTCTTTAAAAATTTGCGTAGATAAAGGGATTTTTGAAAATTTACGGGATGACTTTTTTGATTTTCTGTTTTTATTATTGGTCTCTGTTATTTACTTTAAGTGCGTACATAATGTTGTTGCCATAAAATATCCAAAAATGAATCTGAAATTGTTACCGTTAAGTATTTACAAGATCACCGATCACTGGTCAGTAAATTATCCTAACAATTTGTCAGGACTTTTGGATCGAAAAAGCCACTTTGCATAAATAAAGGGCCGGATTAAGTAGGGTGAAAAGAAGCCAGGTAATTTACTTGCTGCATTTTTGCATATGGTCAGCAAAAGTTAATCAGAGACTGAGTGCCGACAATTCCCAAGCGATCGATCGATCGATTGTTGAACTAATTTTGAGTTATTCCAGCAATGCAGGCGAAACACAGGTCGGCAATTGTTCAGATCGCCCCCGACAAAGTATAAAGTTAAGAAAATGAAAGAGGAATCTGCTGGGGTCTTTTGCAACGGAAGCTGTCGCGATGAAGTTGCCACAGATAAAATTCACATGAGCCACATATGTACATATATAAGGCAAGCCAAATGCCAAGCGACATTGAACTTGTTCATGGGATTTTCTTATGAGATTGTTTTCTCATCGTATGTGTAGTTACACATCCCACGCGCATTTCCTGTGCTGCAAACTGGACCTTGTTAATAGATCAATGAATATTGCGGGATAGGATACGCACTTCCGTCTGGCAAGAGTTCGGAACCATCGGAACTCGGAGCTATATAGCTACAGCTATAACTGATCTCCTGTTTTGGGAAAGGTTCCATGCCAATCGATTCGTTATGCGGTGCAAAAGAAGAGCGATGGGTTCGAGCGGTCCTGCACAGGAAAAAAATTTATTATAAAATCTAATATATATAGTAATTGTGCTTTTGAGTACGTTACATATTGTTAAAGTGGAACGAGATAATGGGATTTGAATATTATTTATTATTCTTTTAAGTACGAAATGGGAACAATAAGAGTAACCCCAACATGCACTTAAGATCACGTACTTTTACTTTAAGTTACAAAGAGTAACGATTGATTTCGCACTGTGTTTTGGGGGCAGCTTTGGAGGGAAGAATCGAACGGTTCTGGGGCCCACAGCTCTCTTCATGGCGCATTTATCGAATTATTATTTCCGGCGTTTTTCCTGTTTTTGCATTGCATATATATGAAACGGCCTGGCACTAAAGTCAGAAAAAGACCAAAAACCAAGGGGCCAAAGCGAGGATTCTCCCAGCGAGGGAGATGGTGATTTCAAGACCCCGTCCCTTGGGGTCCCGAAAAGGGAAAAGGTTAAAGGGGGGTTGTGCCGCTCTCCTCCATTGGCGGTCTCAATGGGCGACATACGACACAATGTCTCGGCGACAGCAAACGGTGCAAAATCGAACGCTTTTTGTGTGAAGTTAATAATACGTTTGACATGGCCCCGAAAAGGGGATCGATCGATCCCAGAAATATATGCAGAAATATGTAGCAGATCGCTCCAGATCGCCCCGGGGCCGCTTAAAAAAACCCCTTCGGGGTATTGGCCATATATAAAGATACCCCTATGTTGGTTGAGAAAAGGATATATTGGAAGCGTTCTCCTTAAAGATAAACGCTGATAACATGTTAAAGGTAAATCTACTCATAGAATTGCATTTAAGCTATATTATGGCATATAAAATAAAAATATATTAAATAAGGCTCAGAAGCTTGTAGTTCCAAGTACATCTATATGGTTTACTTAATGATGTTAGATATCACATTTAGCTTAAGTCATGTGATACACTCCAGAGAGGGGTATCTCTTAGTCGGAACCCTCAACTTAGCTCGTTCTTTCTGGGTTTTCTTCACTTTTTTTTGTATGTCCAATGCAGGGCGCTCTTTACATGCAACGCTGGGCGAATAAATTTATGATTTATTAAGGATGCTCTGATTACAACACAACCACGGCTCCAGACACCGTCTGATGCTGACTGATGTCTCGTAAATAACTTCCAGGGAGCAACAAGTGAGTTATTTGTTTAACATGAACGCGACTTTTTGACTCACAAATGTTGACAAAGAATAATGTAATTTATGTTCGGCCCTGACATCTTTCCAAGATTTCTCCGCAGCAAAAAAAAGGGAAGAATCTCGCCCCTCGATCTCAAAAACGAGTGCTAGAGATTTCACCGCACTGCAATTAGAGATATTCGCACCGATATATATCTAGAAAATCTATAACTGGGCGTTGGGCCCTAGATGAAAAACAAAAAGCCGACAATAGGTCGCGTGCACAATTGTCCACGTAATTGTGATGTTATATAACTTCTTGCGAAAAACAAGTGCAACGCTAAAGTGGAATACAATAAGGAACCGCTCCTCCATTTTCCACACAAAGGTGCACTTGTCATTGTTACAGTTTCCCGGGTTTTCCGGGTTTCCAGTTGTCCCGCTCAACAAACAACAAAAAAATGTTCAATTTCCCAGCCCTGGCAATTAAAAACGCCCACCAAACTCGAATTTCCAAAAGAATCCTCGATCCTGTTGCGTGCGTTTGCGTTTAAGGATCAGAAATTGAGTTCTGAAGTTTTCATTAGTTAAGCTGATTATACTTGACAATGCAGCTGAAATGATAATGATGCGTTCTGGTCCCTCAAAGTACGTAATTCATAATAGGCATAGATTCAAGAGGATTATTCTGGGGTGCAGCATCATTTGATGGCTATTAAAAATTATTGAAAAAGAGCAGAAACGGGGGTCCAATAAAACTATCAAAAGGGATTATGATTTTGGAAAAGAAAATTGTAGCGGACTACTTTCACTTTCACTTAAAAAAAGAATACCTTTAAGTATTTCAGTACCTAAAATAAAAATAAAATTCATTTACCATTCATTGAAATATGTTTTAAGGAATAGAGTTGAGCATTTGACGACTCTTGCTTTCGTTCATTAACTTTCTGGCACAAAAAACTTTGGCAATGCCTTAATTACCACGCCTAAATGTCTCAATTCAACCGCGGGGCTTTCACTTTGCGAAATTATTTAAATTAATTACCTTAAGTGCGGCGCACGGCGATCTTCAAAAGCGTTCTTTTCTTCCTTAATTATAGACTCGTGCGGGGAGCAACTTTCTTTAATTGCCGCAGAGCAAAACAAATAAGTAAATTGGGGACACTGAGGGCTGGGGAAACCTTTGAGTAAAAATATGTATAATATATATGGTTTCGATTTCATGTACTCAAAGCCATTTTCTAAATGAATGTTGATTCCAAAGGTAATAGTTTTTGGTTTGATAAGCTTATTTGTTTACCACTCGTTATTTATTCATATTTTTTACCATTCCTAGAAGGATTCTATGTCGTTTTTTAAGTCCCGCGGCTGCGCAGACCATCAGAATTGCTTTTATAATGAAATTTACGACATTTAATTGGATCAGCAAAGAGCTGAGAACATTTTCAACTGCTGGCGGGGCATTCCAGGATCCGCGGGACTAGACGAAGTCGCGTGGCATTGCGCCGTTGAAAATATGAGTCTTTTATATATTTAAATGCATTCGGATTCGGATTGCATTCACTGCGTGACTGGGCTAATTAGTTGCCTGCACTCTCTCCCTGTTTTTCCTCATGATGCACAGATAAACAGTGGAGGCTGGAAAAATAGAACTGTAAATTATAGTTTTTTCAAATTTAATTTTAGGAAACTATACAAAAATCACATTTCCCATCAATAATGATCATTTTAAATGGTTACTGATCAAGTATACTTAAAATAGGATTTTTAAAGTATAATTTTTAAATTTAGGACATAAAACTCCAGAAGAAAATGTAATATCTATTTGGTTTTATTTTTTTCCGATTGCATAAAGTGTATTATTATTTCTGCCCCAGCTGTACGTACATATAAGTGATCTCGCCCGTCGAAATTCACTTTTGATTTCATATGCATTTCATCAAATTGCCGCTGCGCACGCGCATGCCAAAAGGCAGCGACTCGAAGGTGGAGATAAGAGACCTTGGTTTGATTTGAAAATTACTCGAAAAAAGCAAAAAAGCACGGTCAGCAGCCAGGAAAAAATTAAAAAATATACAAAACAAAACCAAAAAAAAATGGTATATAAACTGCAAAACAGCAAAAACGGGTTGCAGCCGATGCCAATTAAATGTGGTCCAGTCCACATCGCCGTTGCCCAGATCCGAGGTCCCCGATCCCCGATCCCCAATCCCCAATCCCCGATCCTCGAACTTCGTTGTCATTGCCACCGCGGTTTACTTCAAATGGGAGACGCGCGCGTCCAGCGCCAAAATGGCAATCTTTTTGAAATTTATGATGAAAAAATGAACACTGTCGCTTTTTTGAACATTTTAATTATACACACAGACAGACGCGGGATATATTTTTTGGTTGGATGTGGAGAGAAGATTTTCGGGAGATACCACTATGTTCAACGGCGCCCCGACTTAACCGGTAGCCAAATACACTCGCAGAAAATAGGTACTTCCTTGGTTCATGAGGAATCTTACAGGTAATTAATAGAAATAGTTCAATAATATAGAAAATATGCTAATGTATCTGATATATTTTAATATTCTGCGATCTCAAATGCGCCATTCATCAGTGCCTAATCTAATAACGCACCCGGAAAATCCCAAAATGATATACTTATTTTCTTGCCATGCAGCATAGGAACCACCGACTTTATCCGGAATCCCCAGTTGTTGCGGGCATTTGGCGAGTAATTAATAAATTCGCAACGCTGCCACAGGATATTTGCATAAGAAATTATGGCAAT